TCTATGATTTTTTTCTTTCTTCTATATTTTTGCTTTTGTTCTATCGTGTCTCTCTCTCTCTCTCTCTCTCTCTCTCTCTCTCTCTCTCTCTCTCTCTCTCTCTCTCGTTTCATCTTTTACTTGGTCTCTTTCGTTATTGTTTTTGCGTGTCCTTATTCTTTCTTTAAATTTTCGCCTGTTTTCCTTCTATCTTAATTGTTTTGTCTGATTTCAATTATCTTATTTTCTTTTTTCCCCTTCCTTCTGTTCTTCTCTTCTCGTCCTCTTCCCTCATTGGTTCTCCTTCTCTGCCTTCACTTACTTCTCCTCTTCCTCACGAGGATTAAGAATCCCAGTCTATTTCTCCTGATGATTAAAACCCAATTGTTAACCTTACCGAAACCTAACCTAACCCAAGTTAACCTAAATTAAGCTAACCAAAACTGATCTAACCAACTAACTTAACCTAACCAAATCCAAATTAATCTTATCAAAACACAGCATAACCCAAGTTAAACTAGTCTAACCCTACCTTAATCTAACCTAATCTAAACTAAGAGCTAACCTAACCTTAACCTTATCATCAGGTGAAATAATCTAGGCGGTTCCTAATCCTCTGAAGCACTAGTGGCCAAGAAGCACACGCAGCACCAACACCAACACAAATAACTGTGTCATACATGGCCATTCAGGCGTCGGTCAGGCCTCTCTTTTACGGCTTCCATTACGAGTGAAGATAAAGTCAGGCGTCGGTCAGGCCTCTCTTTTACGGCTTCCATTACGAGTGAAGATAAAGTCAGGCGTCGGTCAGGCCTCTCTTTTACGGCTTCCATTACGAGTGAAGATAAAGTCAGGCGTCGGTCAGGCCTCTCTTTTACGGCTTCCATTACGAGTGAAGATAAAGTCAGGCGTCGGTCAGGCCTCTCTTTTACGGCTTCCATTACGAGTGAAGATAAAGTCAGGCGTCGGTCAGGCCTCTTTTACGGCTTCCATTACTCGGTCAGGCAGATAACTTCAGGCCTCTCTTTACGGCTTCCATTACGAGTGAAGATAAAGTCAGGCGTCGGTCAGGCCTCTCTTTTACGGCTTCCATTACGAGTGTAGATAAAGTCAGGCGTCGGTCAGGCCTCTCTTTTACGGCTTCCATTACGAGTGAAGATAAAGTCAGGCGTCGGTCAGGCCTCTCTTTTACGGCTTCCATTACGAGTGAAGATAAAGTCAGGCGTCGGTCAGGCCTCTCTTTTACGGCTTCCATTACGAGTGAAGATAAAGTCAGGCGTCGTAAGAGGTGGGACTGTTATATGAAGCGTTGACGGTTACTGTTAGCGTATCACTGTAGTTACGACGCCATTTTGGACGTCATCTATGTGAAGTGGTTTAAGTGAGGTAGCCATCACCTGTGTTCACATCTGTTGTTAGGAGGGAGAATTTATTACACGGAACTAAACCTTATTGGCCCAGTAGATGTGAGGAATAATTGACGTTTGTAATTACTTAATAGTACATCATAAAATAAAGAGAAATGAGTATCATAGTAATATACACTGTGAAATATATTTAGTGTTATATTATAGTATACGAGCTGAGTTGCCTAGCTTCGGTCAGGTGGAGGAGGGGCACGACCATCACCCAGGGACCATTTCCACCTCTACCAAATTTCATCTCTCAACCTTTAAACCTGGAAATACATAATGAATACATACACTGTCTGTACTCACCCCTGACAATGTGAATTACACGAAAGCGCTTGAGAACCTCGTGTTTTCTTGTCTCCTTGTGGTTATCAGCTACAACATTTACTTTAATATATACAATGTAAATCTGGTCCCGGGACAAAGGAAACACGTCTTTGTTTGTACATTAGAGGCGACATAGCCACCTCACCTTCAGCAGGAACAAACCACTGTGTGAATTCTCGGATTCTCTCTTTCTAAAACCAAACATAGTTCAGTGATTCTTTATTTAGCGAAGTACTGATGGCGCTAAGGCGACGGCCCACTTGTCGTTTCTAAAGTAAATGCAAAGTTTGCCTCGTGTTCCGGAACCAGATTTACATCCTTATAAATTATGATTCCGGTGAACGCTATAGTGTAAACCATTATTAGGGTGGCGACACTGATCATTGTGTGTATCAGTGCACTTTAATTATTGATTAACAAAAGATGAATTAAACCCCGGTAACTGGACGCAACAAGTTGTAGGTTATTCTCTGGACACTGCCAGCCGGGAGACGCCCACATCCGTTTTCTGTGACCCTGAGGACGGGTGGGTGACGGGGGTACATGACCAAACTACAGTAATTCAACCATGCATTATTTACTTTGGACTCTTTATTATTTAATTGATAATTCGTGTGGTGACCTCCTGACTGAATTACTCTGAATAGGCAAACTGTACTTCAGGATTTGTCAATAAATTTGCTAAACTAAAAAAGTTACTTGATCACCTGTTCATCGTCATTCTTAGAAAATTCCGCGTAAGGTTCATTAACCCGGTGTCCGCCGCTCAGGTGAGAGCCTTAGCAACAGTACTTGGCAACTTGAGTATGACGTCACCATCGTGGGTTGGCATATCGCCTTTACTCTGGTTCATTTTTGCCCCCACATCAAAGTTCAGTGTTATTCAGTTGTCGCGGTATGTTGAATGGCTTGTTTTGAATGTTTTAATTCCAATTTATTTTTCATCCGGACTGAATTGAATGTTTTATATTAACGCTCAAACAAACTCGTTGTTAACAGTGACTTTCCATTCTATGTAGCTGACGGGATTTTTTTTTATTATTAACAGGATAAGTGCACTGGGTTATCATATTTAAAAATTGTCTGGTAATACACTATGCAAATAATTTCTAAAATCGGCTAAACTTCAGTTATCACCTCCACTTCATCTGCCAGAGCCGTAAAATGTCGAGAAGTACAACATTATATCCGACCCGGCGGTACCAGCCGTATGATGTTAGTCCCTAGGTCTCCGGGGGCTTGGTGTGTACTGTTGACCTTAGTTTAACTTGTCACGTAGTACCAACTTCTTTCTCGCTTACTCTGATTAAAGATAAAATAAAACATTAAAGAATCTGTGTTCGCAATAATCTGTTTGTGATGTAAATCCAGGTATTTACGCCTGATCTCATGAAGATAAGATGACAGTTTGGCCCTGAACACACAGTACAGTATACTCAAATGCATTTAAAAAAAATCTTGATGTCCCTCTCCTTCACGCCACTTGAGGTGGAGATGCTCACCGCTCACCCAAGGAGGAGTAGGTAAGTGGTGGGCAGACCGCGGATGATGAGGCCGCCAACTGGGTGAACGACGCTCGTGCACCAGCCACCTCAAACACCTCATATCTCATAGCTTTCCAGCCTTCATACAACTCGTTTGAGTTGACGTCCAATAGAAAATGGACGTGAAGAATGAAAAGAGTTGTGGTCATATTGGGGTAGTGAGGGCAGCACCCTGCTGGTGAAGGCTGCCCCCTGTGGCTATGACGTCAAATTCATAAACTCTCACCTAATAAGTTCACCTCTTTTGTTGCCAGGATAAAGGAAGAGGTTAGTCCCAGTAATATTTTGCAGCAGTTTCATTCTCTGGATCGCATACAGGACAGTTTACTGTGACCTGGGAGAAAGTTCAGTGCGTACCCAACAAAATTCCAGCCCTTGTCTGGAATTGGGGACAGTTTTTACAGTTGGACTGCCGGATGGAACTGTCCAATTAGGAAAAAAACACCACGCAGAGAGCTAGCATCAGACGTTGTATTTAAAAAAATGCAGAAAAGTAGAATTGACCTTATAACGTGTGACACTGTGACAGGAATTCTGCAATACGATTAACAAGTACAATAGATAAGTGCAGTGTTTCACTATACATACAGTGGAGTCATTATACTAAGACAACTTGTTAGCATAGATTAGTAGTCAAGAAGGTCAGCAGGCCAACATTAACGCTACTAATGCTTGGCTAACCTTCACGACGCCCAACCTGTTAGAAAGGACGGGACAGCCAGACAGACAGAGACGGGAGAAATAACGCCTGCCTTATAAATGGTCTTGCCAACTTAGGTAAAGGTTCAGAGATGACGATAATGTTGTGGAAGAGAAGGACTCGTACATCCCCTCAGCAAGAGCGTGTAATTGTTATTTATTTTCCTTCCCGCTTTTTGTTTATGTTGTCATCGTGTTGAAAGTGTTAAGTCATCGTGCTCAAGGGGTTATGTGATCGTACTCAAGGGGTTAAATCATCGTACTCAAGGGATTATGTGATCGTACTCAAGGGGTTAAATCATCGTACTCAAGGGGTTATGTGATCGTACTCAAGGGGTTAAATCATCGTACTCAAGGGGTTATGTCATCGTACTCAAGGGGTTATGTGATCGTACTCAAGGGGTTAAATCATCGTGCTCAAGGGGTTATGTGATCGTACTCAAGGGGTTAAATCATCGTGCTCAAGGGGTTATGTGATCGTACTCAAGGGGTTAAATCATCGTGCTCAAGGGGTTATGTGATCGTACTCAAGGGGTTAAATCATCGTGCTCAAGGGGTTATGTGATCGTACTCAAGGGGTTACTCGTACTCAGGGGGTTGCATCGTACTCAAGGGGTTGCTATCCATATTTGTAAGATATACCCTTGATTTCTTCGTATGATTTGGACTAAGCAGATCTAACTAGTCTGAACCTAACTTAACCTGACCTATCCCAATCTGCTTCAACTTAATAATATGATCTTAAACAACTCGAATCCATTCTAAAATAGCTTAGTGTAATCAGATCATTCTTATGTAAACTAATCTAATTTAACTATTTTCACCTAATCTGAGTATTTGTATAACCTAACCTAACCTAACCTAACCCAACCTAACCTAACCTAACCAGACTAGTCATATCTTAACCTAGTTGGAGCTATTGATTCGTGTTTAACCTCATATATTCTTGTTCAGTATAATGTAGTCTTAAGTTTATTCTATATTAATCTAATCTAACATAACCTACTGTGGTCAATGACCAAAGTTTAATTCTTCTGAGTTAGGTTATGTGGTCGTAGCTACTGTGGTCATATCTGATGTGGTCGTAGCTACTGTGGTCATACCTGATGTGGTCGTAGCTACTGTGGTCATATCTGATGTGGTCGTAGCTACTGTGGTCATATCTGATGTGGTCGTAGCTACTGTGGTCATATCTGATGTGATCGTAACTACTGTGGTCATATCTGATGTGGTCGTAGCTACTGTGGTCATACCTGATGTGGTCGTAGCTACTGTGGTCATATCTGATGTGGTCGTAGCTACTGTGGTCATTTCTGATGTGGTCGTAGCTACTGTGGTCATATCTGATGTGGTCGTAGCTAATGTGGTCATATCTGATGTGGCCTGCAGATGATGTAACCATAGCTGGTGTGGTCGTGGTTGCCGTCATCATATCTTGCCGTGTTTGTATTTGATATATACGTAGCTGCTGAGGGTGGACCACTCTGGGGAGGGCAACACCCGAGCCCTGGGGTCGATCAATACCATACGGACCAGCTGTGGCAGTTGGTGGTTCACTGGGCCCCTGGGACAAAATCTCACTGAACAAAATCCCATTGTTCAAATTAAGAAAATATAAGCACAGTTTTCTAAACACTGAAGTTGGTTGAACAAAATCCTTACCTAATTTAACTACAGCTGTTCAAAACCATACTTAATTTAACTACACCTGTTCAAAACCATACTTAATTTAACTACACCTGTTCAAAACCATACTTAATTTAACTACAGCTGTTCAAAGCCTTACCTAATTTAACCACAGCTGCTCAAACCCTTCCCCTAATTTAACTACACCTGTTCAAAACCTTACATAACCTAACCTAACCTGACATTACTTTCACCTTATTCAAAATTAACATTGATGTACTAATGAACGCCACATCATTATCTTCTCGTCTTGTCTGTGTAATTAAATGGTGAGTTTTGTGTCATGGTAGAGTACTTTTTTTCCCTGAGTACTTTTTTATGTCATGTGATTATATTAATGTCCTCGTGTCTGTGCTGGTGTGTCCTGTGTTGATGATAGTTCAGTCCTTTGATGATAAGAATGATTTATTAGACAAAATAAAGACTAAAACCCTTAAAACCTCTCAGCTAATCAAATCGACAATAGGTTTAATGAGTTAAACCAGTGTGGAATATCAGGTTTAGAACCGTCTTAATGTTTACACCAGGAGACCAGTTTACACCAGCATCATGGATCTAAAATGATTGGTTTAATTTTTATCCTCGCCCCTGAGTGGTTTAAGGCGAATGTAATCATAGCGTTAGTTTGTCTGTCTGTCTGTCCTGAGATAAATTATTGCAATCACTTTTTTTTCATAAATCCTGTATACATAAGTGATGAACCAACCCTTTTGATGTAAGTGGAGGGGGTCAGACGTTCCATTGATGTAGGTGGAGAGGAGGGGGTCAGGTGTTCCATTGATGTAGGTGGAGGGGAAGGGGTCAGACGTTCCATTGATGTAGGTGGAGGGGAAGGGGTCAGACGTTCCATTGATGTAGGTGGAGGGGGGGTCAGGATGTGGGGGGGAGGGGTCAGACGTTCCATTGATGTAGGTGGAGGGGAGGGGTCAGACGTTCCATTGATGGGTGAGAGGGAGGGGTCAGACGTTCCATTGATGTAGGTGGAGGGGAAGGGTCCATTGATGTAGGTGGAGGGGAAGGGGTCAGACGTTCCATTGATGTAGGTGGAGGGGAGGGGGTCAGACGTTCCATTGATGTAGGTGGAGGGGAAGGGGTCAGACGTTCCATTGATGGCTCTCTCGTTTTAATGGCATTATCATGGGTCATTCCGAAGCCTTGTAATGTTCCTCAGTTAAACTAATATACCTTCTGTGTCATAGGTGAATCGCGGTTCTCAGAGGTTCGTACGAAGTAAAACCATCAGAATTTTCTCCTATTTTACCTGTGAATTTTTTTTTTTATGTTTTGCTTTTGAAGGAATTTTTGAAAAGAGAAATAAACTGTGTGACATCCAAACACAGGCGGGGCTTAAACTGTGTCAGAAAGATTGTGTATGTACTAGTCCTCCTTGACACACGCACACATACACACACACACACACACACACACACACACACACACACACACCACAACTCCTTTCACAAGTGAGGCAGAGGGGGTGGGGAGGGAGGCCTATTGCTAAACGTCGCTTGCCTCTTACAATAAATGGGTCGATCTTCTACGTTTTAGAGTCTAGCTAAGGCGTGGAAGCCTCTAGACTCGAAGGCCTTCCCGCGGCTCCGAGTAAGTTGTGTTTGTATACTTCGTGCAGCTGTGGTGGGGACGGACAAGTTTGAACATGTTCGTTCAAGTATAGGCAAATGTGTGTGGGTACTTGGAGGCCTGTGTAATGGTCGGATATATATGATTATATGCGTGGATGTGTTGGTTCTCACCGGATTGTACTGTATTTATTCACACACACACACAGCCATTTGTCACGCACGGAGATTGTACCGTGATGAAAATGTTCTGGACATGTGCAGTTCGATAAAAAGTTAAGTTAATCTAATCTAACCTAACCTAATCTTTTATTCTGAGGGGTAATATCAGCACACCTCAATCTTTTAATGTTTTGATGGAATTGCGCAGGCCCAGAACATTCTCAACACCCCACGCCGGGTTAGTACTCCTGCCTCACTATACAGTACATCACAAGAAGGTAACGTCTACAGTAATTTTTCTGCGGTAAGTTATTTTCTGTAGTCTCTCTCTCTCTCTCTCTCTCTCTCGTCGGTCGATCGAGCTTGTTAATGTATTCTGATTGGATCATCATTCAGACCAGTTAGCTACGTCTCAGTAAAAAAAAAAAAAGGCAACCTATTCAGACCGTTTACCACGATGGCCACAAACAGCCCCTACCACCACCATCAAATCGGGCGGAATCCACTCTTATCGGGGTGCCACAAGCGGAACACTCCTCCTCTCGCTTGTTGTCGGCTGAGGAAGGTTTGTGGATAATACTCCCGCCGCCAGACCAAAAATCCCGAAGAGAAAACCGCAAGTAAATACCACTTGAGAAAATCCCCTCGTCACTATCTCTCGCCGAAATTAATAAAAGGAAGAAAAATACAACCAGCTAAGCATTTTGTTGTCCGTATTTCTTGTACACTTTCATAACCTAACCCACATTCTTGCTGGCGTATTGCTAAAAAAAGATCTCCAGACTCTCCCCCTTCCTCCCTGTCTTGTTTATTAATAGTACTGTTTATGGTTGTTATGTAGAATAGTAATTTATGTAGTTAATATTGAGTTACTGTATAGTGTTTTATTTTACATTGTTCCTTATCTCGATTTGGCTCGGCTATGTAAGTGAGAGGTGAAGGCAAGAGGAGGGATGTGGCAGGGAAAAGGGAAGGAAGAACATAAGGAGTCTGCAATAGGCCGCCGGTTGGCCTGTGCATGGCAGATTAAGAAGTGGCAAAAGAGGAAGGAAGTAGAATGGAATGAAAGAATGGGATGGGAGAACATACGCAAAAAGAGGGAGGAAGAGAGGAAAGGGAAGGGAGGGACAGTTGGGAAGGATAAGGGCTGAAGGGTCAGGGAGGGAGAATACCTATCCCTAAATATTTAAGGTAATACTTCTATATATTTTAAGTGTTAATATATTACTTCGGTGTTTCAAGTAACTCTTCACCATACTCATGTTCAGTCACCACAAGACTTCGAAATGAAAAGAAATATATAGCCAGTGTACGTGAACCCTAATGTGTGTGTGTGTGTGTGTGTGTGTGTGTGTGTGTGTGTGTGTGTGTGTGTGTGTGTGTGTGTGTGTGTGATGTCCTTTTTACACATTAACAAGAGAACACAAATTTCACAACACATACATGCACGACATATAAACACTATCATTTTCACTGTAAAAATTATACACACGAACTCGAATACACACACACACACACACACACACACACTATTAGGTATACATTCGTACACTGTATGCCTAATAGTGTGTGTTTTATGCATGTTTTAGGTTCTGTGCGTATGTAAAGAATCATCCTTCCTAAACAGGTCTTACAAATAGGCTGTCAGTCGCTAGATCACGCAGAACACCGAGGAGTCAGACCTGCGCGCACACACTCGAGAAAAATCATCCTTCTTTCTCCTGGTTTATTTCTGGAAGGTCTGTGTGTGTTGGCGCTAAGACTCCGGATAAAGCGACAGATGTCACCACAATAAAACTGGTCAATTATGACCGATAAGTTACCGCTAAGAAATCCAACTTTATGATTTCTCTCCGTACTGCAGGATTTTTCAAGCCCTCCCGCGCCGGTTTGGGTGGCTTTATAATTTAGCGAAATGCAGCTTGCTCAATCATTTTCTGTTTCTCTTCTTTGTAATCGTTTGGTAGTGTCCTTTACTAGATTTACGCATGTAATATATACGTTTACGTTAGTGAATGAGGCGTAAAAACAGATGGAGTATTGGAAAAAGCGTAAATAACATCCGGCAAAATTACATCGGCGTCGGTGTAGCCAGAAACTGGCAGGGTTAGCTGGCAGGCGAGCGAGCGCCACACGTTTCGTTTGGACCCACCGTGAGTGGTAGTGTGTGGTGCGTGCTCTCTGCTGCCTCTGGGATTATTTACCTCCTCTTTTTCCTTTCTGTGTATGATGTGTCGGTGTACACTGGTGTATTGAGACTAGGACGTGAGGAGAATATTCCATCGCCATGAGGCTACACTTGTTCAACCCCCGTAAGTATTGGTTTACAGGAGGAGAATTCGCTTGTGTTTTGCGAGCTGGTGACAGCGAGAGTGAGTTGCCACATACCGTTTTCACCATTCTTAGACGGATGTTTGTTATTGTACAATTGCGGCTCCCCGGCGCGTATCTGTGGGGTTTATTTGTTTATGAATACTGTGTAAAGAGGCTATTAAGTAAATTTGAAACGTATTGTTCAAGTCAACGGTGATTAAATCTCTTTAAATGGCTTACCTCTTCTGAGGGCCCCTGATATGACTAGTTGCGTTGATAGTATTGATGTGTTGGGTCACCCTTAGCGATTCATGACACCTGTTTCTATGCTTTGCTTCCAAACAATTCCTTGTTTTCAGTGGTAGTGGTGCTGCCCAGGCTTATGGGCCCTGCAGATCAATATACGTAACACAGTAGTTGCTCGTTGCTCTTACTTCATGGTTTAGGGCTATGAAATAAATCCCACCAGTTTACGTGTACCATTATGGTTATTATTTACCTGCCGTGTTCGAGTCATCACACCTGCAGCCTTACAACTTGTTTCTACCTGGGTAAAAGACTGGTCATTTGTTTATGTTGTTTTGGTGACGCAAGAATAAATACTGATAGATTGTGGTGCCAAACTGACCACCAGGAAGGCACTGGCTAATGGAAGGTAAATGTAAAACTAAACTTCCAAGTATTTCAT